AGAAGCCGGCGCCGCCGCAGAAGGCCAAGCGCTCGGTGCCGCCCGCCTCGCCCGCTCGCGTGTCCCCAGCGCCCGAGGCCATAGGGCCCGAGAAGGCAGCGACCAGCACGCCGGCGCCCGAGACCCCTCGAAAGAAGACTCCCATCCAGAAGCCGCCGCGCAAGAAAAGCCGGGAGGCGACGGGCGAGCCCCCGAGGGTGGGCGCGCCCACCCTGTAGGGCCTCGGCCTTGCCGTGCCTGCAGCTTCCCCTGGCTTAGCCGCGTTGCCTGCCACCCCGCGTTCTGCGACCCCGGCATCTCCCGCGCGCCCTGGGCACGGGAGACCTCCCCTTGCCGAGGCCCCTAGCGGCACGGCAGGAGGTTGTGTCTGATTGGCTCAGGCTCCAGCAGCCTCTCCTTGGGCGGAGCAGCGCTCAGGCGGGAAATCCCCCATCCTAGTGATCGAAGCCTGGCGCTTAGCTGGCAGTTCTCTCCCCATTGGCGGAATTTTGGAGCTCTCTGACCACCCACGTTTCATTGGCCAAGACCAGATGAGTTCTGCCTAGAGACCACTACTTACTGTACAGTATTTGACTGGGGCTACCTTTTCATTGGCTGAGGCCAGAAGCACTTCTACCTTAAGCTACCCCTCATTGGCCAGGGCCTGGTGCCTCCTGGTTGGAAGGTCCCTTCCCTGGTAGTAGCCCAAGGCTACTTCCATTGGCCGGACTCCAGGGCATCTGTCTGGTTGACTGCAGCCTGGGGAGAAGGGCTGGTCTCTGCTCCTCGGAGGGCTCGGTGCTCCTCGACTGTCCCATTCCTTCCCTTCCTGGCACCCCAAGCTCCCGCCTCCCAGCCCTCACCCTCAGCTGTCGAGCTGGTATTGATAGCCTCCCACCACCCCACTCGCTGTGGAAATCCCAGGGGGGCGACTCCAGTGGCCTGAGAAGATGTATTTATATGCCCCCGGCAGGGCTGCTTACACCCCGTCCAGGGGCCCCAGGATGGGCTCCTCTTGGCAGGGCCTTGGCCAAAGCTTAATAAAGTGCCTTTCTTTTCCCTTTGTGTGCTGTGATTACTGCCTGCCTGTGGACCTCCGGCGAAGATGTCCCCCTGAAGAACTGCATGTGACTTCTTCATGCCTCTGCTCACTTTCTCACCGAAGCTCCCCTGGTGTGGATCTCTAGGGACCATGTGGAAAGTGGGCTGTGCCCGACCTTCGATGATCTGTTTATCAAAGTTTATGGCCGCCTGCCCTGGCTTGCCCAGCCTGGACGGACTACCTGGGAAGGATGGCTCAGAGCATGTCGGGATAGGGAGTCCCTCGGTGGGGAACCGCAGGTGGTGAGAGCTGCCCCTGTTCTGTGCCTTTCCCACAGGCTGCCTCTGTTGAACTTGGAGGTCAGAGCTGTTTGGGGTGGACCAGAGGCTGGGGCCAGGGGCCAGGGGGCCGCGGTGCAGCCTCCAGCCAGGCCTCATCTCGCACAAACAAGAAGGTCTGCCTCTGCACAGAGCCCTGCTGTCCCCCTCAATGGGCTCCTTGTCCTCAGCCGGAAACTTCCTCGCTTGCCTGCCAGAGAGGCAGAGGGGTTGGGGAGGGGAGCCTCCCTGCCGGCCGGAGCCCCTGCCCTCTGCCGGCCGTCCTGCCCTCTGACCGGCTTCCATCTGTGACCCTTTGTTCCCCAGCACCTTCACTGCCAAAGGCAAGCCTCCCTTGTGACCTTCCAAAGCCTCGTGCTTTCATCTTTCCCCTGTTCCAGATGTCTCCTTGAGTTCTACAAGCTCTGTTTGCTTTCCTCCTATCTCCCTACCCAGCTAGCGGGCTTCTTCCCCTTCTCCTGCATCTTTTGATGCCCAGCTGAGTCTTCTGACTCTGCTAAGATCCTCCACCCGACTCCCTACACCCAACCTGCAGCCCAGAGCCCAGCTGCACTGTCTGACTAGCACTGCACTACTCGCAGCCTTTGGTCCACTTTGGTCAGCTACGCAGGGGCTCAGTCACGGCATCAGAAGAGCCGATGGGCGCACACAGTCCCTGTGCCTGATGTGCTCAGGCAGCACGTGGAACGCAGACTGCCTGTCTCTGGGCCACATTGCTTCCCTTAGGCCGGCCAGGCGCTCTCCCTGCTGTGGCCTTGTGGCTGGCCGAGCTCTGCTCTGTTTAGGCACCAAGCCACGCTGGCTGCTGGGGTTGATGACACAGGCTGAGAGTCAGCCAGGAGGGAAAGAAGACAAGATGGGACGGCAAGAGCAGGACACTGATGCTGGGGGATGTAGGGGTGGGCAGTACTCTGGTTTAGTCCACACTTTTTTTTTTTTTTCCTTGAGACAGGGTTTCACTATGCAATTCAGGCTGGCCTTAAACTCACTATGTAGCCCAGGCTGGGTTTGAACTTGTGGTGATCCTCCTACCTCAGCCTCCCCAGTGCTGGGACTACAGGCTTGTGCCACCATACCCGGCTAGGCCACACTGTTACCTATGATATGCACCCCCAAACAGAACCATCGTACTCTAACGCTGCTGCTCTCTGTTCCTCCAACCCCTAATTCTGGTTCTCCATCTCCCCAGCCTGGACTAGCATGATTTGAGAAGACCAGAAGGCTCTCAGTGACCAAGCTTTCCTGGGGCCTCTCCTCCCCCTGCTCCAGGAGCCTTCCAAGCATCTGAAGCCCAGCCTGCAGAGTTCCTCTGTGGGCACCTCACAGGGCAGGGAGCCCCTCTCCCAGCATGCAGTCTCCATTGCCTTCCCCCCACCCCCAGGAGGGTCCCCTCCACTCTCATCTGCTTTGGAAGCCACTGGCTCCTCCCCACCCCCTCAGGGCTTACAGCAGTGCCAGCTCCAGGGGCAGGCGCCACAAAAGGGAACCGCAGCTGCTGGAACCTCTGTTGCCATGGGGATGGGGACCACAGGACCCACATCTGGTAGCAATTGAGGAGGAAAAATTATGAGTCGTGGAAAATGCAAATATTTTGTGTAGCACAGAGCGCGGAGGAATGTGGAGACTGGAGAAGGGCCTGGGCCCGGTCTGGTTTCCAGCAGGGGTGCAGCACACGTCACACCAAGAGGCAGGGCGGCACACAGGCACACGGCCAAACCAGCAGCCACTCGCCGTGCAGTACACACATGCTCACCACTAGGTACAAGCATCAGCACACTCAGCCTGAAACACACACACACGCACAAAGCCACCAGAACCCCAGAAACAGAGGCACGCGGCCACAGCTGGACCCAAAGGAACAGAGACACTCGTCTGCCAAAGCACACACATCTGCCTTCAACACACAGAAGCACCTAGACACACGTGCAGCCCTCTGCTAGCCAGAAATGGGTGCCCACTCTCCAGGCAAGGGCACAGTGCACTGTTCATAGAACCACTGCCACGCTGCACGTGTGTGGAGAGAGACACACACGGCCACTCACAGACATATTGGCCAACCCACAGTAAAGCAAAGACTCCGCCTGCAGGGCACATCCATGACTCATGGAAACAAAACATATGTGCACTGCAATGTACAGCATAGGCACTGGACATAGGAACACGAGAGAGATACTCCCGCAACGTACACACTCTTCACTAAGCAGAGAGAAAGGCAGAAACACACGTGTATCACACAAACACACGTGCGCATCAGAGGTGCACACTGAGGCAGCGGCCAGACATATTTCTTGTGACACACTGCAGTTCAGGACACAATGAAAAGAGGCAAATTGCCTGCAAACATGAATCCTGTCCCAGAGACAGGAGCATGAGATAAACATGTCACAGCGTGCTTGCCAGACACACCCGTTCATAGCGAACACATATCACCAGACTCCAAACATCAGCACACACCCTGCACGCCACCACACTCACAGAAACATACCTCATCCTGCAAAACAAACACACACATATCATCACCTGACACAGAAACACTGAGCACACATGTACATATGTCCCCGCCACAGACACACTGAACAGGCATGCATCTTGCAAACACTCACAGGTACCACCTGACCCACAGAAATACACACACGCACACACCAAGACACATAGCAACAGACAAAAATAACATACACATATATACAGCAGCCAGCACACGCACTCCACTACAGGCAACAAAATAAGGAAATGGGTACTTCACCTGTGCGCATGCTGCCATATCCACAGAAATGCACACACGCGCGTGCGCCCCTCAATGCACAGACAGGTATATGAGATGCTTCGCAGTGTGGCCTGTTCTTTAGCTCTGGCTTCATGCAAACGATACTGACACCTGCTGGAGGCAGTAGTGTGTCAGGGCTGGGGTTAAGAGAGCAGCGTTCTGAGGAACAGAAGGAAAAGAATCCAGGGACAAGTGAATGAATATGTGCAGGTCGGATGCTAGGTTTCTGGAGGAGCAGAAGCAGGCAGAGCAAGGGGAGTTAGGAGTGAAGGAGACCTTTGACAGGGTGGCGGTGGGACCTGGGATTATGGATGATTCCGCCTGGGTGGAGTGCAGTTGTCCCATGGATGATGGGCAGGGATCATCATTTTTGGGTGAGGGTCTGATCAGGATGAGCCCATCTGCAGCACTGAGGCCACTCACCTGGTTGTCAAGAAGCTGGTCAAGGTTAGGCATGTGGCTCAGTGGTAGAATGCTTACTTAACATGTATGACCCTGGGTTCCATCCCAGCACAGCCAAAAAGAAGACGAACTGCTCAGGAGGCTGAGGCAGGAGGATTGCTGCGGGTAGGAGGCCAGCCTGTAAAGGACAAAACAATAAACAAGGAAAGACACAAATAAATACATACATACCCACACACATGCGTACAGGAGGCTGAAAAGGGAGGATGCCTGCGGGTAGGAGGCCAGCCTGAGCTACATAGTGAGTTCAAGGCCAGTCTTAACTGCAGAGAAAAACCCTGTCTCAAAAAGACAAAAGACAAACCAAGAAGAAGGAGAAGAGAAGGAGGAAGAGGAGGAGGAAGAGCGGGGAGGGGAAGAGGAAAAGGAATAGGAGAAAAAGAGAAAAGAAGTTGAGGTGAGGATGAGGTCATGGAGCTTCCTGGGTTTGTAATAACCTTGGGATCAGCAATGGACCTTCAGTCATGCATCAGTCAGGAAGTCACAGAAATATCTTGGACTGTAGTTGGATGGTGGGCATGGAAGGGGCCGCTGTGCTGCTATGTTGGGGATTCAGTAATTGTTAATTGTGAAGTTACCTCTTGCCTACATCCCCACAGGAAATATTTCAGTGGCTTTTTACTATTGATATGTTGTGCATTTTGAGAGGCAAGGTGTGCACACAAGGCATTCATTCTAAACACTTCACAATGGGCATGCCAAGCACACTGCTGCCCTTTGGTAGGGCTCCCTTGTGATTTTACAGGGGCGGTTAGGAGGACCTGGTTGAACACAGCAGCTTGCTGGTGAGACAGATATGGACTCGTGGTGCCATCTAGTGGTTGCCTGTGGCAATACGTTGAGTTGAAACAATCGCGGTAAGAGTCCTGAAAGAAGCGTAGCTCAGCTCTGCCGGTGCTGCCAGGTGGGAACTTCCCAGCAGATGTGGGTTTCAGGCCAAGGTTAGTTCCCAAAGTGAACATGGCCAAGTGGGAAAAACCACAGGGCGAAGGGCAGTGTTGACATGAAATTGGCACTGTAATTCAAGGTGCCAGGCCACTGACGATGAATGCAGGCCTAGTTGGGCAGGGTATAGCAATATCTTGTCTCTAAAAAAATTTTTTTAAAATAAAATTTAAAACAGTAGAATTTTAGTTGCCAGGAGCTGGGAGGATGGGAGTTAGCAGTTAATGGGAGCAGAGTTTTCAGTCTGGGATGATGAAGAAGTTCTAGAAGTAGATGGTGGTGAATGTACCTAATGCCAACGAACTGAAAAATAGATGCATTTTATATGATATATTATTTTTTATGGGGGAGGCTTCCAGCAAATTCCAGCAGATCCCAGAAAATCTGCTTGACAAATTCTAAAGTAACATTTGTGATATATGTTTTACCACAAAAATAAAATTTGTCAGTGATGGTGGTCCCAGCCTATACTCTCAGCGAAGGGATTACAGAAGGCTGAGGCAGGAGTATGA